ATAGAGGAAAATATCAATAAATCAGATATCAGATATCAGACTTTTTAGACTTTTTAGACACAAGCAAACAGACAAAAACCACAAATTTTGTTTTGTGTCAAAACATGAAAATATCTCATAACGCTTTCACATTTTTAGTCCTTTACTCTTCTCCGCTTCTAAATCTGTACAAGTACAAAATCTTGAGTATGCAATTTACCTGGCAGCATGTGTTAGATAAAGCTAGCTGGAAGCCACTCAAAATACGGGAGAATTGATCTGTTAAAAGCATTTCCAAGCTTTTTCTCAGCTTTCTATAAAAAAAAAGGGAGAGCTGAAACTGTAAACGAATTAAATTTTAATTACTAGTATAAAGCCACATACTAGATCATTTTAACTCATTTAAACATTTCCTTCAACTTTCTCCACTTCACAATCATGAAGTCTCCCATTTTCTCAGCCCCTGGGGTGCGTTTAGTTGTCTTCGAAAAGTGCAGCATTAAATCCATCAGATAATATATCTTAGCTTGACACAAAATAGGGAAAATATGTAAAAGCAAGTTGGAATGTTAATTGAGATGAAAATACTTGCTATCTGACAATGTAAAGGCATAAACTAGGCTTCTAATAAAGTTCTAAAATTAGGGTTATAATATGAGGCTTTTATCAATCTGACAGTTCATTTTTGTTGCTATGATACTTTTCTTTGTGAGTTGAAATTGCACGTGTAGTTCACTGATGTGCTTTATATAACATGTAGGTGCCTAAGGCGTGAGCATTCAATAATGTTTACATTTATAAATAGTGCAATACATGGAACACAGGCACAAGTTTGAGATGTGCCACATGAATCTGCTTTGTGTATTACTGGTAATGAAAATTGGTCGATGGCTCTGAGCTGAACAATTTCCCTCACGGGATCATTAAAGAAACTGCAGCTGTATGTACCGAAAACATAAAGAGCTCCAGTTTTAATGGGATTACCGGAAGCATAGCTTCATTGTGCTTGTGTTTACAGCAGAAATAGCCCATAAGTGGCCATGATTTCTTATTAAGTAAACATACATAACTATGTGGATACCGAAAATTGAGCTGAATGCAGTGATTTTTAAAAAGCCAGCATGCTGTGTGTACTTAGCTGATAAATGGCCATTCAGAGGGGAAGAACCGTCATGATTGAACGTTTTTATGACCTCCTCCTTGTTCAGGGAACATTTTCTCCCTGTGTCTGTACAAAAGTTCCCTAGGTGTGAGGAAAGGATGGAGTCGTCTCGGTCACTGGGACTGCAGCTGCTGTGCTTCAGGAAACTTGTCCAATGAGCTATTTCCTTTAATAGCTGCAGGTAGATGACCAGCATTGTATGTGCATGCTGGTCAGCTATGCTCCATGCTTTCAGGTCAGAGCGAAGATTTTTTTTTCCACACCAGCATGGAAGACAACAAGCTCACACTTTCATTAAAAATTCAAATAAAATCTTTCTTTCTGTGACATTTAAAAGGGATTACTTCAGCGTTAACAGCATTAGTATTGAACGTGCTTTCACCTGTGACAATACTCTGATGAAATTAAGAGGAAGTTGCAGCTCAGGTAATGAATAAAGTGGTGTTGGGGACGATGGATAACCTAATCAATGCGCTGAGCAGTCTCACCTGAACTGTTGAGGACCGTGGTAACAAAATGGTGTTGGAATATTTGGAGAAAATCCAAGCTCCTATAGACTTGTTTGTGCAAGTTTGTGCATAAGAGGAGTGTGGCTGACTGGCTATAAAGCTGGCATACTCAGCCAATTTACTCCTTCGAAATGAGCTCAGTCTGCCGGCTGATGCTGTGATAAGATTGTTGTGAGTGTGACATGTTACACTGTAATCAGCCTCCCCTTCAGACAATCTGCCAGGCCTGTGAGCTAATTCCCCTCCAAAAGCAGGATGATTGAGCAGAGGATAGATTATCATAAACTCTAAGATTTGTTTGTTTCCATCTTGGAACCACTGGTGACCTGTCCCATTAAGAGAGAAGAAGGCAGTGATGGGAACATGTCCTTTTCTAAAAAAAAAACCCACAACGTCGAGGTTGAACAGATGGGACATACTCAAAAGGTTGTTATGTGGTGTCAGTGACATTCAGACAGGAATATTTGCCAAATACAACAAGCTGGCTGAGGTGAAATGAACAGATTCTGTTTTGAGAATGAGAAAAATAACACCATGAGGGGTGAGTAAAGACAGGAGCTTAAAACAGCATCGGCTGCTGTGACCACAGCTTCACAGCTCTCAGTTTTTATTGCCACGGAGCAGAGTTTGGATCATTAAGTGAAGTGGGTGACTGAAAGGAAAAGAGAAAAAACCCGGGACAAAAGAACTAGACAGAGCACAAAAATCAGCAAAATCAAACCAGTCACTTAAGCTCTCCTAAGAACTTTAATAGGCCACATATATAAATACCATATACTGCCTTTATTGGTCCAATGTTTAATTCACAATAAACACTCATGATTAAATTAGATACATACACTCATGCCCAACATCCCTAAAGCCCCAAAACCCAAAAGAAAAAAGAAGAAAAAAAGAATACCCCCCCAAAAACTCAGAATAAGCACATCTTGAACTACTCGACATGAAACATCTCCACCTGCCCAAATAGAAACAAACTCATCCAAGTCTGACACCATCCGATAGTAGGCAAACTCAGTCCTAAGACCTGCAGCCACCAAACCTCTGAACATCACCTGATCATCTGCACAACCTACCCCCTTCATTTTATTCCTCCTGCTGAGCCAAACAAAAAGTTAACCAGACAAATTTTTCTCTGTTGTTCTCTGTTTCTCTGCCGGGTATCTGGGTCCAAAAATAAACAGCTCATTGTCAAAACCGAGTCCTAATCCTCCCACCCACTGCTTTAACAGAGAGAACAGAGGAGCTATTCTGGGACATCCTAGCCAGAGATGTTCTAGCATCTCCTCAGCCACATGTCTGTTCGTGGCCCCACTCACCAGCCTCCGCTGGAGACCTGCACTGCGTTTCTCTATTGGGGCTTTGTACAGGGACCTCCACATCAGAGCACCTCAACTCTCTGACCCTGGCCAACATCGCTCTGTTCAGGACCTTCACAGACCCAGCATAGAGGCTCCTCTTTGATGCTTCCGAGAAGTCCCACAGCTCAGGAGTTCTGAGGGATAGTAGGAGTCCGTCTGCTCCCTCCTGCTCCTTCACTGCTGCACCAATGGACAACTCTGGAAACCCCTCCGGATGGTCTTCTGTCTCCAATGCCCTCCTGAAGGTACCAGGAAGTCTGTTCATCACCTCCTCCACCAGTCTCTCCATGAGGCGCAGAGACTTAGTCCCAGAGTCTTCACAAAGTCTAGCAGGACTTTTCCACTGACCGGCTGACCTTAGTCCTGCCAACTCCAGCCCCACTGCTGTAAAGACCCTCTGAATAGTGTCAGAACCCAGAGTCCTGCTCTGTGTGGCCGGATTATTGTGTGGCCTCTTGATGTCAATCAGTCCCGGACCCCCTTCTGCCACAGGTAAAAACACCACAGCCGATTTGATCCACAGGCATCCATCCCAAAAGAAGTCCATGACCTCTTCCAAAAAATTAAGTTCTTTCTCCAATAGTTCAACTTGATCCCTTTCTATTGCTTCCATGTGTGATGTGTGTTGCTGACAAAAAAATTCTAATCTGTGTTTTCCCCACCTCCCACTATTTGACCTATGTTTTCAAATCTTGATTTTCTCCTATGAGCCCAAAATCAGTGAAAGTCTGACAGAAAGTCTTGTCATGGATCAGTCTTATGTTAAAATGCTAATAAGGAGATCTGTAAGGAGGCACTATTAAAGAAAAATTTGCGGTTACTAGGTGATGATCTGAAAAACCAACTGGTGATACAATGGCTGCAGTTAGCCAATTGCTGCACGTGTTGTTGACATAAAATCTGTCCAGTCTGGCTGCACTAACCCTGCCCTCTGTGACTTTCACCCATGTATACTGCCTGGTATTTGGATGTCCTCCAAACATCTACTAGATCGCTCTCTTGAATTATTTTTGTTAAAAGAGAGGCTGATGATGAGTTGGGCTCTCTCTCATTCCTGTCAACTGAATAATTGGTAGTGCAGTTCCAGTATCCTTCCACCACCACTACTGAGCTGCTACTGAACTGTTTTAATGCGCCATTTAGTTTCTGAAAGATGTTGATACGGCTAACAGCAGAGGTGTAAGCATTCACATTAACAAACACAAAAGGTGTTTCTCTGATTGTAGCTTGCACCATTAGTATACGATCCAGTTCTATCTCATAAACTGCCACATTTGACAGGACAATGTGCTTTGCAAACAGGATGGCTACACCTGCACTCAGATTAGAGCCGTGGCTCGGGAAACATGACCCCCCCCCCCCCCCCCCCCCATCCTAAGGCCCAATCTGTGTCGTCTGTTGGAGTGGTACGTGTTCCTTGTAGGAATAACACATCAACTCAGATATTAAAGCTCTTTTATTTTGGGCCCTCCCTCCACTGATGTTTAGACATATTTTCAGGCTCTGCATAGAGATATTAGAAAGGAGAAGAAGGATACAGGCTGAAAACAGCATAGAGCAGTAGGAAGAAGAGGTCACCATGTGAAGAATCATGTTGAATCTATCTGGATGTTTTACCAGTTTTCCCTCTCTTAGCTATCCTCAGAACTGCCAGATGTTTGTTGAGACAGTAGTGCCTATTTTCATCCAGGAGGTCATTGCTAATGAGTCTCTTTAAAATACTGACAGATTTAATGAATTTGTTTGGGTCCCCAAAGTAATCGCTGACTTTGACGGATTTGTTAAATGTTTCATCTTCATTTATTTCCTCTAAAGAATATAGATCAATCTTTCTGCTCACCCCTTCACTTATAGATGCTGTGTCGGACGTTGCTTTATATTCCATTTAATCTACACGTGAAATCTGACTGCAGACTTAACCCTTACCTGTCACACTGGTGGTAGCTCAGTCCTCATTGCTTTCTGCTACCTGCGACTCAATCAGGATCTCTACAGTCTACAACCAATTTCCTGCTGTTTGTTTGGACATGCTGATCTTTTCTGTCCAACATCTCCACACTCTAAACATTTCATGTGTCCCGAGCTGGCGTACACCATGTAAAGCCCTTCACCTTCTTTCACCCTGAAGGATACCTCCTGTGTCTGTGTGGGAGACTCCAGGAACATGAAAACCTGCCGCCTCATAGACTGGACCTGCTTCAGTTTCTGATCTTTGCATCCCAAACTAACTGTTCGGAACCCGCTTGCCATTTTGCCGAACCTACAGAGCTCGTTCTCCAGCAGGACGTTCGGGATGAACGGCGGGACACCGGATACGGTGATCCGCGTGGATGGCACTGACAGTGGGGAAACCTGCACCAACAAGTCCCTGACAACCACCCCGGACTCAATCAGCTGATGGTCCTTCAGAAACGCCACCACTGCTTTGTTCATGCGTGAGGCATGAAACAGTTTACTATGACCTACCAGCTCTCTGACAGCCAACAACACCTCCTCCATAGTCACAGGGCCGTCCGGCGGGACTATCCTCACCCCCTGCCTGATAGACGGAGGAGGCGTCTCGGAGGACGCCATGCCTCCTGATACACACCTGTGTAACCTAACAATTACTTATCTAACACTCACTGAAAGAAACTGAATTACTCTTACCTGACAGATAATTGATGGAAACTGAAACACACCAGGGGAAAAAAAAATCATCATTCAAACTCAGCGGCACTCTCATGTCTACCACCTACCATCACACTCACCGGAAACAGAAATGGATAGATAGACAGATTCAATGTTTTCCAACGCACATCTGCACATCGCGTGATTTGATATTTTATGTTTTGACTGTCCAGAATTACAATAACTGTTTATTTTGCATGCTTTTAGGGCTGGAGGCAAGAAAAACAAAAACACAATTATCCCCGGGTCTGACCAGACATGGTGAAAGCAGAATGGATTTAATTCAAAATAAAGCATTACAATCTTGAAAACACTCCAATAATAATTGGGGGTTAATTCATCTGAGGATGCATGCAGCTCTGTAAAATCAAGTGTGAAGCTAAATTGGTTTGGCCTGAACTCGTTTTTATCGAATCTTTCTGTAGGTGATCGGCGTGAAGACGATATCATGTGGAGGTGCTGTCGTTGGAAGAGGAGCACCAGCTGCAGGGACTGGAAATCTCTGGCACTCATTATTTTAGCCTTTATAAGGCGGATTTTTCTGCCTCTTCTTGTTAACTTTTGGAAAGATTTCACCTTATTTCCTCTTTTTCTTTTTTTAGCATCATATATAACACACAAGGAATGTGAAGAGAAAGTTATACTTTCAACCTCTTACATTTTTTTTTCTTATCTCTAAATGAAAATCTGAATTGCACCAAAACTAATTTTTTAACCGGTTTATTTCTGTATGCTATTTGCAACACAGGAAGAGATGTTTAATTGTTATTTGGGATGGCCCACCAGTCAGCTTCAGTTTACTTTAAAAAATATATTTAAATCCGCAAATATCTTTGAACTAATTTTTGTTTTATCTGAAGGTTGAGCTATTTCAGGACTCACAGTTCTGCAGTTTTGAAATGAGTGTACCTGCTAAAGTGAGAACTTCTGCTTGTCAGCTGAAACACTTTTCTATGGCAGCTCTGCTGCTCAAGTGTAAAAACTCCTCCAACGTTTTTTTTAAGAGGCTGCTGAAAAAGGCGTCAGCAGCTTTGGCCCAAAAAATCTCATCAACTCAAAATTGACTCCAGTGAACTGCAATATTTTGCATTGATTTCATTGTATGGAACAAAGAGAAAACATTGTGTTGGCCATTAACGCAGCTCCAGGGGAGGTGTGTGATTAGTCTCGGACATTTTGTGCTTGAGTCGGTTTAAAAACAATCAAACTCCAAATAAACCTTCTATATGTACCAAAATGTATGAGAGCTCAAAAAGTTTTATTCCCCTTCTTTTTCATGTCCCATGTTTTTCTTGTCATTTATGCCTGATTTGTTGGAAATCACATTTTTTTGCGCAACAGGTTCCAGAAAAGTTGTAGATTGTATAAATCAGTATCTCAAAAACACGTCACTTTTGACAAAGATTTGGCCAGAGAACAGCAGCTCACATTGCCGCTCTGAAATATTAATCAGCCTGCGTTGTAGGGAGCAGGAATCTGATTTGATCCGGGTTTCTGTGTGAGTGGCGTCCTCTTTTTCGCTCTTCTGTCGACGCGCGTAAAGCTCCCCCTGTCACTGCGCGTCCTGAGCGGAGAGGAGCCTGTGAGGACGTCTCTGCGCACGTTCACTGAGAAGGTTTATCAGCTTTTTTCGCGATGTTTTTCAAATGTGTAAAGTCAGTTAGGTATGGGGCATAAGTGAGGCAGATAGAGCGGACTCCCTGAGCAGCTCTGCTTTGGTACCTGTGACATATTTGACCATTTGTCATCTGCAGCCGCGCGAAAACGGAGGTAAGTCATTCTGCATTGGTTCTAGAGCGGGTTCAGCGTCCTTTTTCTGTCCACATGATGCAGCTTTGTATGCCAATAACAACTAACGCAGCTACTAGTTTAAACTTTAACACAGATACGGATTTGCATGTCCACTTTTGATTATTTATGAACATTTTTAACTTGGAAAAGGATGAGCAAGGGCGAAATCTTGTCACAGACCTTTTTAGTGTGTTTTCTATTTGTCTGAAGTTTGAAAATATGATGCATATATGCAGGGGAAATTGACAAAGAGGGCTCAAATGAAACTAAATGAGGTACTTTAAATGAGAGGATTACACAGACACCTTTAATAAAAAACCTGAGGGTCGTTGTCTCTGCAGAGGAAGAAAAAGAGCAGACATCTGCAGTGGATTATCCGGCGTGTACTGTAATATGAACGGGTGATTTCCTCACCATCTGGCCACGGCTGAAAATACGCGAAGATAAAAGTAAACTGCCAACTGTAATTTTGTGGGAGTGGACTGTGGTCCCTATCAGTTGGACGTACGTGTGCGGCATGGTGAGTGGCTCCGTGGAAGCCTCTCAGGTGTCCATCTTGCAGTCAAAACCAAAAAGCAAAAGTTCTAATTACGTGGCTGTTACTTTTGGTTGGGGTATCTCGCAGGAACGTTCACAAAGTCAGTCTTAGTGGATGGAGGTGCCAGGGGGGTGAAAAGTGGGGTGGAATTTACGGAGTTAGGATGCTTAATTTAAAAAAAAGCATGAATAAAGTAAAAAAAGATCCACATATTTCAAATAAACTGAGCGCAGACACAGCGTGATGGTCCTGACACACCCACGATGTTCTGCAGTTTGCAGCCCGAAGAGTTTGGTGGCAGAACGGGAGAGGTCTGAGTCTGTCCACCGGTGGGAATAACCTCCTAAGGTGGTCTTAATTGGCTCCGGATCCTCTAACTCAAGTACAAAATATGCCCCTGCCTGTCTCCCGCTGCTTCCCTTATTTTTCTTCCATAATGGAAGTGAAGCTGTCACAGGCAACATCTCCATGTTATCCCTGGGTCTAATTAACTGTTTTTGTCCTTTCACCTTATTAAAAAGCACGCTGGAGATCTTTGAGCTCTTCTGAACATTCCCCGTAGCGGATATGAAGCTTTCTAGATGTGGCACGAACACAGATTAAGTACGTCACACTTGGAGGATATTCCACCATCTGTAACCTTTGACAAATGGCTTAATGGTGAGTGATTATCCATCCATCCATTTTCTATAGTGCTTATTCCCCATGAGGGATAATGGGGAACACGCTCACATTCACTCATAGGGGACCATTTACAGCATCCAGTTAACCTAACATGCATGATTTTGGAACGGCGGGAGGGAAGCTGGAGTACCCGTAGAGAAACCGACACAGACACGGGAAGAACATGTAAACCCCCACACGTAGACCGGGAACCCTCTGGCTGTGAGGCGACTCACACAATCTCGCCCTGCGGAAAGGTGGAAGGGCTTAAATGTTCCATTAGAAACACGCATGTGCAGTACATTATGTCAGTTCATGCAAATGGGGGCTGCAAAGGAATAAATGAATAAAAATGAATATTGTCCACACCTTTAGAAAAACCTCTGTTCTTGAGAGAGATTTCAGACGCCCTCCGATTGTGTTGCTTGAAGGGGCACATGTGCCTCACAGCAAGAGGGTTCCTGGTTCAAATCCCGGTGGGGGCTTTCTGTGGGGAGTTTGCAGGTTTCCCCTGCCTACGTCCGAACAGGACAGATGCTCTGAAGCAGCTTGACCGAACAATTGACTCTGCTGGTTGTGTATTTGTCCGACCAAGTGACTGTCTGAGGTGCAAACTATCAAAATGTTCACATTTAAAAACAAGCCTGTTGGGGGAAAAAAGCCTGAATTAGGAATTGCACCAGTGAGGGGGGGCATTTCATTCCACAAAGACCAGTTAAGGATGCCAGGTATTGTCCATTGTCACCTGCCAGCGAGCTCACACTACGCCTGACCCTGCTCACACTCAGCATTTTTCTAGGCCTAGTCCTGCCAAATCCAGACAAAGTTAACCCACCAGGTGCCCACCAGTGAGTCCTGCTCTCTGCCCGTTACAGAAAGGTGACCGCTCACCTGACACCCCGCAAAACACTAATGTCCCACCAATGCCCCCAGCCCTCAGGATCCATTACCTCACTAAAGGTGGGACTCTGTGCAGGATGTCCTTTCTTAAGGGGAAATATTTCAATCAAATTCAAATCATGGACGATAGTGAAACTGAACCAAACTAAATGGACCAAGCTGTGCTTTTTTGGTTCGGCTCCTTTTTACCAAAAAAAGGAACCAGAGCATTTCTCTGTTCTGTCTGTCCATCTCCAATTCCAACTCGACATTATTTGTGAAGAAGATCGAGAGATTCTTAAAACTCCTCTGAGGAAGAGACTCAGCTCTGACCCAGAGAGCGTTGCACCTTTTTTCAAATGAGAACTACGGTCACCCAGCTGTGAACTCCCATTGAGGCTGAATAAAGTTTTTGGGTAATAGAAGCTAGTTCAACCAGAGCATCTATATCAGGGATGTCAAACTGCGGTCCTTTGGGTCGCTGTCCTGCAGGATTTCAATTTCCGATGTTTCGATAAATATGAGTGTGAGTGTTTGTGTGTGTGTGTGTGTGTGTAGAGAGAGAGAGAGAGAGAGAGAGAGAGAGAGAGAGGCGGAGGCAGAGAGCAGAGAAAGAGAGATGTAGATAGATAGATTTTTTATTTCTCGATTTAGAAAAAACCCTTGAGTGTTTTTATTTTTGCATTTCAGTTTAGAGTACGAATATGCAAAAAATATTTATTGAATATAATTTTAAAAAACTTTTGCAAAAGTTATTATTGATTTATTCAATAATTTTTATCAATATTTACAGCAAATGTATTGTCATGAACTGAAATGTAAAGATTCAATATAATCCATATGTTTTTTAACCAAAGTTTGGACCGTTTGGTGATGCAATAGATCTGATACACATGTAGTGTTAGTATTCAAGAGGACCTGTTTCCATTTCCAGGACTTATTCTTTAAAATAAGAGGTTTGTGTATTCAGAGATTGGGTTTATTGAGACCTGTACCCTGTGATGAAGAGTGGATACAAGCATCCTCTGTTGCA